TCTACCCTGGTCTCCCGCCTCCTCCCCCCCACCCCGGGTCAGACCCACGGGCCCATCTACCCTGGTCTCCCGCCTCCCCCAGTGAAAAGCGGAGGTTGATCACTATTAATGGCCGGCTGGAAATGTTGGTCTCTGCCGCCACCCCGTGGCCATGCCGCAGAACTGCAATTTACACCCCGCGCATGCGCGTTCAGAGCCCGGGCAGGAGCGTGTCGTCCCCCCCCCGGCCCCATTCTAGGGTTACCATACGTCCGGATTTTCCCGGACATGTCCGGCTTTTTGGGACTCAAATCCCCGTCCGGTGGGAAATCCCAAAAAGCCGGACATGTTCGGGAAAATCCGGCGCCGCTGGGTGCTGGGCGGCCGGGGGACGGCGCCGGCGGTGCTGAGCGTCCGGGGGCTGTGGGGCTGGCAGTGGTGGGCGGCCGGGGGTGCGCTGGGCCGCGGGTTGGGGCCGGGCCGGGGCTCCGTGGAGTGTCCTCTTTTTGGACACTCAAAATATGGTAACCCTACCATTGCCCCAGGGCGGAGCTAGGGGCCACTGGGTGCGTGGAGCGGGGTGGGGGCAGGAGGGGGGCGGGGCAGGGGGCTGTGCGTGGCAGGGGGCAGCGGCGGGGGCCCAGCAGGGGGCACTGGGCTGTAGGGGTCAGGGGAAGCGGGGGGAGCGCAGCGGGGGGCACTGGGCTGTGGGGGGCAGGGGCGGGGAGGAGCGGGGGGAGCCCAGCAGGGGGCGCTGTGCCCGGGCCAGCCCGTTGCCTCGCTGGGCGCTGTGACAAGGGCAATAACACGAGTGGGGCACAGAGATTTTTATTACAATATCACACAATAAATAAACCAAACGCTGACGATAAATACGGGGTGAGGGAGCTGGACGTGTCCTAGGCCAGTGACTGTGCACAGGGGCCGGATTAATTGTGCTTCACACACGCACACACACACACACACGCACACGCACACACAGACTCCTCCTTCCCCCGGGGGAACGACTCGGCCCAGGGCACCAGCAGCCGGCCAATAAATACATAAATAGATAAATAGACAATTCATTGCTTAGAGAAACCCGTGAACGCCGCCGTCCTGTGTGCAGCTCGGGTCGTTATTAACGGTTATCAATTATCATCAGCCAGAGAAGCAAGACAACCCAGTGGCCGGCAAATTAGTCTCCCATCCGCCTGCACAAACCAGCCAGGCCCCGCTGAGCATTGGGGTCTGGCTCCCCTCCACTGACTCAAACAGCCCAGAGCCTGCTCAACTCAACGTCTCCCTCCCCTCCAAGCCCCCAAACAGCCCAGTCCCTGCTGAGCATGGGGGGGGGGGGGTCCTCAGGTCCCCCATCTGGTCTCAGAACAGGCCCCCCCCCGCTTAGCTTTAAAAGCCCAACAAGTGTGTAGTGTTCTAAGCCACAAGGGTAACTTCCACTACGTTAACCCTCTGGCAGCTGGAAGGTTTCCGAGCCGCTAACGCGCAAGGAAAGCTGTTTCTAAGTCTTTGGCGGGAGAGCTGGAGGGTGGTAGGGGGCAGCATTGGGGGTCAGAGCTTTAGGGGGGCTGAGGGAGGAATAGGAAGAGTCAGGAGGCTATGGGGGCAGAGGAACCCCCCACCCCCAAAGCTCACACCTCCATCCCGGACGTGTCCACCACCACCTTGACATAGAGGGTGTCATCTTTGAGGTAGTTTTGGAGCTGTCCATGGGGGGCAAAGAGGGGGCTGCCGCTAGCCACGTTGAGCTGGCCCCGGGGCTGCTGGAAGGACGTGCTGCAGGGGTCAGGGGCGAACGTCTCCCTCAGGGCGGGCCTCCGCCGCCAGGGATCCAGGAGATAGAAGGTGACCTTGCAGAGGAAAGGCCAAGGCAGGAGATCATCGTAGGGCCCCTTGGCCAAGGCCATGAACAGCGAGAGGTGGGTCCCCTGGCCGGCCCCATCCCCGTCCGGGTAGAGCCGGAGGCAGAGCCGGTAGCCGAAGGGGTGGGTGGCGAAGACCGAGGAATAGATGGACGCTCTCCTCCCGGCCTTGGCGTCCCCCAGCGGCTTGGAGAACCCTTGGAGCTTCCAGACCAGGGTCCCGTCGGTGCTGGCCAGCTCCGGGGACGTCGCCACGGCCCCCCGAGCCCCATGGGAGCAGCTGGACGGCTCCATGGAGATCCCCGGGGACGGCTGGTCCTGGAGGCACCGACGCCGCAGAGCTTCCATGGCGCCGGCCTGGCTCTGCAGCTCCCGGCGCAAGGACGTCACCATAACCTCCAGCTGCTGTATCCGCCGCTGGAGCTCCGGGGACGGGGGGTCCTGGGGGAGGAAGGGAGAGGGGTCAGCTCCCATCTGGCTCCCGCCCTGCACATCTGGCTGGGCTCCCCTGCCGCCCTGCACATCTGGCTACAAACTGCTTCCCCCCAGCCTGCCCATCTGGCTACCCCCAAAACATCTGGCCACAAGCTTCCACCTCCCCTTTCCCTTGCACATCTGGCTGGGCTCCTCACCCCCTGCACATCTGGCTGCAAACTGCTTCCCCTCAGCCCCTCCCCCCTCCAGCCTGCCCATCTGGCTATCCCCAAAACATCTGCCCACAAGCTTCCACCTCCCCTTCCCCATCTGCCCCCCCCCACGTAAACATCAGCCAACATGATCCTCCCCTCTCCACATCTGGCTACCAGGCCTCCTCCTCCCCCCTGCACATCTGGTGGCTGCCTTGTGACTCACCATCGCGTGGGACTCCAGGTCCTTCAGAGCTGACTTCTCCTCCGGGACGGGAATCGCCGCCGGGGGGCAGAGGTGCTCCTGCAGCAGGGGAGAGGAGGGGGTTAGAGGATGGGGGGTGCCGGGAGGGGGCAGCAGGGCAGGATGAGGCTGGCCTGGGGGAGGGGAGAGGCGGGGGGGCCAGGGGGTAGAAGGGGCAAATTGGGGGGGTTAAGGGGACTCCAGCGAGGGCCGTGGGGGTCAGAGGGGATGGAGTCTGGAGGGGGCAGCAGTGGGGGGTGCCATGGGAGGGGGGAGAGTCTAGGGGGTTTAGATGGGTTAGTGATGGGAGATGGGGCAGAGTGAGGTTAAAAAGGGGAACTGGCCCTTTAAGAGCTCCAGCCTGCCATTCCCAGGGACGGCCACCAGAGGGCAGACCTGCACCATCAATCCAGTCCCAGAGCAGACATGGGACTGGCTGGCTCAGCGGGGCAGGGAATGGGGCAGGGGTCTGTCCCCTCTAGGGGGCGCCGGCTCCCACCCGGCCCCAGGGCAGGGACTGGCTGGTTCAGGGGGGCGGGGAATGGGGCAGGGGTCTGTCCCCTCTAGGGGGCGCCAGCTCCCATCCGGCCCCAGGGCAGGGACTGGCTGGCTCAGGGGGGCGGGGAATGGGGCAGGGGCCTGTCCCCTCTAGGGGGCGCCGGCTCCCACCCGGCCCCAGGGCAGGGACTGGCTGGCTCAGGGGGGCAGGAATGGGGCAGGGGTCTATCCCCTCTAGGGGACGCCGGCTCCCACCCGGCCCCAGGGCGGGGACTGGCTGGTTCAGGGGGGCGGGGAATGGGGCAGGGGCCTGTCCCCTCTGGGGGGCGCCAGCTCCCACCCGGCCCCAGGGCAGGGACTGGCTGGCTCAGGGGGGTGGGGAATGGGGCAGGGGTCTGTCCCCTCTAGGGGGCGCCGGCTCCCATCCGGCCCCAGGGCAGGGACTGGCTGGCTCAGGGGGGCGGGGAATGGGGCAGGGGCCTGTCCCCTCTAGGGGGCGCCGGCTCCCACTCAGCCCCAGGGCAGGGACTGGCTGGCTCAGGGGGGCAGGGAATGGGGCATGGGACCTGTCCCCTCTAGGGGGCGCCGGCCCCCCCCCTGGCCCCAGGGCAGGGACTGGCTGGCTCGGGGGAGTGGAGAATGGGGCTGGGGCCTGTCCCCTCTAGGGGGCGCTGGCTCCCATCCGGCTGGCCTGGCTCAGGGGGGCAGGAATGGGGCAGGGACCTGTCCCCTCTGGGGTGCGCAGGCCCTGATCTGGTCCGAGGAGTGTCTGTGTCCCAGGTTCTTACCAGGTAGGACGCCAGGGTCCCCGTCCAGCTGCAGCTGGCTCTGGGGCAGGTCACGGCCGTGCTGAGAGCGTCTTTCTCGGCTGCTCGGTCCTTGTAAAACTGAGGATGGAGAGAAAGGAGAAATAAATGAGTGAATCCACGGCGCTGCTGGTGCCCCTCACTCCCGACCCACAGCCCCTGCTAGCCCTGTCCTGCCCCCCCCAGCTCTGCCGGTGCCCCTCACTCCCGACCCGCAGCCCCTGCTAGCCCGGCCCTGCCCCCCCCAGCTCTGCGGGTGCCCCTCACTCCCGACCCGCAGCCCCCAGCATTTTCCGGGTGACACTCACCTGGTTGGGGCTCAGTCTCTTGTTACAAATGCAGCAGGTCACCTTGTCTGTGTCCCTGTAAAGAGACAAATCCCGTCATCAGAGTTCAGCGCAGCCCTGCCCCACACGCTGTCACACGGGGCACGGCTGCTTACATACATGTCAGAGACAGACCCTCTCCTGGTGCCCCTCACTCCCACCCCGCAGCCCCTGCTAGCCCAGCCCTGCCCCCCCTGCTCTGCCGATGCCCCTCACTCCTGCCCCGCAGCCCCTGCTAGCCCAGCCCTGCCCCCCCAGCTCTGCCGGTG